TCGCACCCACTCGTGTCCATGGCTGTGCTGTTGCAGACGCGGCCCCGGGTGCCCAGCGAGCCCGTCTTACGGTTAGCCGAGCAGAAATCGGGCGAGTCAGCCGAGTAGATGAGGTCCTGCTTGTCGGGAGGCTTGATGTTGTCGCCCACAGGGATGAGGGTTTTCCCGTCGTTGCCTCCCATCACCTTGAAAGCCCCGTTGAAGCGCTCGAGCAGGCGGTCCCCCACCTCGCGGAAATGGGGCATCTTCTGCCAGCAGGTCCGCAGGGTGCAGGAGCCCGACAGCCCGTGGCATTTGCACTCTGTCCTCATGTAGCTGCGCACCGCCTGGGGAAGAGATGGTGATGCTCAGCCCTTGGTCCTCCGCCTCCCTTCCCAGCACCACCAGCCAAAACCCTGCCTTGTGGTGCTGCCCTGGCCCAGGGGAGGGTCCTGGGGGGGGCACAGAGGGTTTCCAAAGCACCTGCAAAGGGCTCCTGAAAAATATTGGGTCCATATTTCACCCAAAGCCGGTGCAGGCACATGGCTTGGGGAAGATAAAGGTGGAGGGTTGAGCTGGGTAGGGGCATGGGGGGGTGATGCTTGCGGAGACCAGGGAGCATGGGGGCCTTACCAAGCGCCCAGCTTCGTTGTTGTGCAGGTCGATAAGAGCTCGGATGTCATTTTTGCCTTTCTTGCTCTTGGCATCCATGAACTGCTGGGATTTCTCGTAGCCGAACTGCACGTCATCCCCGCAGCCTCCCCACTCCCAGGCCGTGCCCTCCGTGCCTGGACCCGCTGTGGGCGAGGGGGGAGCCCGGCTCCGCGTCAGCTCACAGCCGCACTGCAGCAGCTCACCCATGCTGCAGGCCTGCGTGATGGCGTGGCTCACCCCAGCTGCCGTGATGGCGTACACGAAGGCTGTCTCCCGGATATCTGCAGGGGAACAGCCAGGGCCGGGACGCAGGGTCAGCTCCGGCAAAGACTCTGCAAGCAAAGCATCCCCCTGCTGACATCGCATGGGGGCTCGGACCTCCCCTTCTCCCCCTTCATCTGTGCTCGGCGCTGTTCCCCGGGTGATGCACCCTCCCTGGAGCGGGCTGCCTGGGCAGGAGCTGTCTCTTGCAAGCAGATATGCAGAATTTGGGGGATGACAAGGCCCTGGCAGCGTTCCTCCACCCCAGCTGTAGGATTCTAGGGGCACCAAATCTCCTGCCTCTCCTTGCAAGGATGGGTGCTGCCCCACAGGAAAAAGGGGAGCTCGGAGAGCAGGGGTGGTCCCTGTGGTACCCACAGCTTCCTCACGCTACCCTGCAATGTCTCTCCAAGAAGTAAAAATCCCATCCCCAGCTGCAAGCTGGCAGCTGGAGAGGAGATAAGTGCTGCGAGGGACACCGCGGGT